AATATTCCGCTTGTGATGAAGCACTTCTGGTTATGTAATAAATATAGGTTTCCTTTGACAATATGTAGTGTTACTTCAGTAGGATGATAATTTATGACAAGAAAAATAGCAAAGGGAGAGCTGATAGAAAGTCTGATAAGAGCAGTGTATAAAACTAGGCATTGCATAATGCAACCCAGTTAACCGCACAGCGTTAAGAGCAGTAGCATTTCTTTTCATTGTTAAGTATTGATATAGTGTATATAGCTATATATAATTATAGTTTTATAGTATAGTGTCAGTTCTTGGAAGCTTTCAGTCAGTGCAACATACTCCTGGTCATCATCCAGTTGAGCAATGAAATTCAACAGAGTTTATTCCTCAAAATTTTCAGATAGACGTAGTCTTGTTTGAAATGTCATGCTGAGATGCTCTAAAACTTCTCTATCTGGGTGCCAATGATCACATGACATGACATGTGGGTAAAGAGAAGGGGGAAATAGTACCCTTTATTCTCCCTAGACACATTTGCTCTTTATATCTTCATGGAGGAGCCTGTGCAATTGCACAACTGCGCAAAAAGAGTAACACACTTTCAGCCTCGCTTTGCAGTCATCTAACTTTGGAGGTTACTAAACCTGCTATCACTGCACTTTAGGTGTCTCTGGCACGTGCTGTCAGGAACTGGCTGCTCAGTGTGCATTGCTGGTGGGCGAGAATTCAGGGATTGGTTTTATGGTGCAGATACAACTTTGGCCAGATCTATTTCCTGAAATAACTGGGAGTGGGTAACTGTCCAGTCTTTTTACCTCTCCTCCCTGTTCCCCTACCCATCTGAAAATATTTTACAGGTTTTTAACCTTTCTAGGTACCAAATAGATATCACTAAAGAGTCCTTCGGCTGGTTTTAGAGAGTATTTTGCTTTTGCGACTTGGGAGTCGGGTGATGAATTGTTCACTCATCTCAACTTAGGCTCTGGAAGTGTTCTTATAGACTTACATCTATAGATTTCCTTGGCTGCAGCAATAGAACAACCTCTATAATTTTCTAGTGAATGAATATCTTCTGCCTGAAACCATTATGTTGGTATTTTTTAGCGTGTTTTTTTAATGTTTAATTTTTTTTTTTTAAATGTTTTCGACATCGTCTTAGGGACACATTCATTTAAGTCCTAATATAAAGTTTCAGAGGCATGAGGCCAGCTGTCCTGCACTTCTGAAAGTTGGACTTCTGAAAAATGAGATGAAATGAAATAATTGGAGAAGATTGTATTAGTAAGAGAGCTGCTGTTTTATTGCTCCCTTCTTATACTGAATGAAACAAATCACAACACATTCAGGTAAGTAGCTCATCACATCATTGTTTTTAAGAACTGGGATTGCTGATTTATTGTTTTTCCTTTTGTTCTTCTTTTTATATTATATATATATACACGTGTGTGTGTGTGTACATATATGTATGTATTTTCTGTCTCTGCAGGTTTAGATATTGTTTGGGAGAATAGTGACTATTAACTTCAGGATAATCAAACTTTCACATGCAAATATTCCTGTTGACTTCAAAGGGAGTAACAAGATATGAAAGTTATACTTCTGTTTAAGTCTTAACTGAAACAGAGTTGTTGTTTGTATTCTTTGAAACTTAAAAAGATAAATTCCACATCCTTCCTGGGCAAGCTATTCTAAAGCCATACTATCCTTGCAGTTAAATGTCAAAGCTTGCTTACTTGTAGCAATATTAGCCCCTTCTTTTTCTGTTGGCATCAGAGGGTAAATGGTAAACAGATTGCTGTAATCTATAACACATGTCAAAATCATTACAATTTTTCCATTCCTACTTTCTCCTCTTTTATCTCTGCTACTCAGTCCCACAGTCTTTTTTTTATATTAAAGAATATGACGAACACCTGCTGGGCCTCATGTTCTTGATCTGACTTTGGGACTGGAAGACATACTGGGTGATATCTTCAGTTTACTAGCATCCCTTTTGCTGTAATCGATGTAGAGTGAACTTGACATCTCAAAAATTCAGTTTTTGGTTTTTGTTTGTAGGCTTAAAGGAATGTCTTAGCCAACAGGGAGCAGAGAAGTACATGGTTGTTAATTGTTTTTAAGAAAGTAGCTGGTAAAAATTAGAATGAACTAACAGCGTGTTCCAGCAACCAAGAGTCAGTTCTTCTCGAACTATCACTACTGAAATACTTCTTCTGGGGACTTAGATCCGTGTCATCATATGGAGGAAAATAAAGGGAGAATTGATGCATTAGAAATAATTTTCAGAGCAACAACACAGTTCATAAATTCTACTTTTTGTGGTGAAAGGGAAAAAATGATAAAGAATAAGTAATGAAATAAAAGATTTGATATTCTTTAGCAACCAGCCCACCAGTTTCCTTCTGATCTATAAGTAAGATGATATTACTCTAGAAAAGAGAGAATATATTGTCTTGTTAAATGAAGTTATTTAAGAAATTACATTAAAAAAATGCACGTTTATGTTTCCTGGATATTCTACTGCTTCACATATAATGTTGATATGGAAGACAGTGCCTAACAGGATGAAAAAACAATTAGAAAACATAAAGGACCTTTATGCTCCTCTGCCCCGGGAATTTTATTTTCCTGATGTTAGTGGAATAAGGTGAAAATGGATAGTTTGTTCTTTATTTCTTAGTAGAGAATAATGTTTATAATGTCAAAGACTACAGGAAAAAGTGCTCCTCTTCCAGTAATATAGTATTGCAGCTCTAAGGAAATAGAGTGCCGGGTCTTTGTGGGCTGTGATTTCCTTTGCGATACCTGAAATTCTTTCTGCAGAATTTTTCTTTCCCAGGTTGTATGGCACAATTCATGACTAGATGTACTTTTCTGCAAATATGCTATAAATGTAGAGATGCTTTTCATTACATAAGGTGTCAAAACTTACCCAAATGGCGGAATAAAGTAAATCCTAGTCAGAACTTTGCTTTTCTTTGGCCAATGTCCCATTTTCTCTCATTGGAGAGACCTAATCTATGCAAAGCTATTGTGATACAATTGAAGTGTGTAATAATCATAGGAGACAAAATTCACAATCTTAGATTTTCTTTCTTTCTTTTTTTTTATTTTTATTTTTTGCTGTGTAATGATAGCTTGAGTTCTGCAGACACACTTTGTGTCTTACAGAGAAGGAAGGATGATCTTTAAAGAAACCAGCAAGGGAGACTTCGTCTAGCACTGGGCTAGAATGGCAAAGATTAGACATGACCAGTCCAATATTGCTACATAGCAACAGGAAGCTCGTACTTTGACTGCTCATGTCTTTTTGATGATCAAAAAAAAGGAATTTGAAGCTGTGATATGAAAAAAATAAATCTCCAAAAATGTATAATTGATATTTCTAAAATTAGCTCATACACTAAATGAGAAATAGGATTTCAGGAAGTAGCCCATCCAAAACAGAGTAGAAGACAGCTTGAGAAACATGCCGAAGCTTGCATTGCTGCTATCCTTGCTGAAATTGTCCTGCAGTTAATGTCCTGCAGTTAAACAAAGCACCGTGCTCTGCGTGGCTCTTAACTCTGAGTCCTTTGCTAGGACAGAAATTGAATGAGTTGCAAAAATAAAAATACATTTGCAGGATCCGTTCTCAGATAGATATAACCTGTTGTTGTTGCTGTTTTTTCTTAATAATTTTAATTCATTCAGTGCCTACATGGCTTATCTCTCCCATTGACAGAAAGTTGCTATTGCACTTTCAAAAGGCAAAAAAACCATATCTGACATGCAGTAAATCAAATGTAGAAAAACTATTAAATGAATTAAGCTAAGTGAAAGGAAATGCTAATGAGGCATTATACTTAGCATTGAAGTGTTTATCCAGAGCTTTTAGATCCAAATATTAATGAGACTTACACACCCAAAGATTCCTGTTCAAACCTGCTCCGAGTCTTTTACTTGTGAAAAGCTTTTCTTGTTGATAAATATATTAATTTGGTTTACTTTAAACTAGACCAAAGACAGATAATATCGTTAATAGTCAGGCTTTGCTCTCTGAAAGTATGATAAAAAAAAAAAAAACCTTCTAAAACCTTTAATAATAAACATAAACCTTCTTATGAGGGAAATCTTAGAATGCTTTTATCCTTTGAAAAATCTATCTTTTCCAGTGTATGCTGTCATCTAGTAAGAATGATCTTTAAGTGTATCCCAACTTTAGACTACATGTGGGTTGACACAGGCAATTCAAGTCGATGTGTTTCTTGAATTAGGTTTTATTTAGTAAGTATAGAAATTCAGAATCCAGGTAGAAAGTTGGTCTGAATTCAGATGGATTCTTCAAAATGCAGGAGATGGTTTGATAGCTCTTTGTGCAAGACTACCACTGTTGTTTGCCTTTTTCTCCAGAGAACTAGTTGGTCTTTGTCTTCTAGAACAGTCTCTTAAGCTTTCTTTCATTTCTGCTTAATTTGCTATCCTTTCAAAAGTCAGGTACAAGTTACAGAGCAGCTTAAGGCATTATCCTCTTTATCAATTAAATATCATTTATGCAGACCCTCCTCAAAAATGTTTTTCCTAAAATAATTTTTCAGCGTTCTTTTTTTATGTACCTCTGATCTGGCAGATGATTTGATGTTTTCAAACATCACACAACCATAAAGACTAAAAGCAATTCTTTTTAAATGAAAGCTGAAATGTGCTTGTGGAGAGCCTGAAAACAAAGTTTCACACCTCAGCAAACTCCAGTTATCATAAGATTCACTATGAAATGTTAGCAAGAAAAATTGCCTGTAAATTTAAGTATTGATCAGGAGTAGGGGTACAGGGGAGAAGTGATGCCCTAGAACATCTTTCCAATAGATTCCTATTGCAAGCATAAGAATACAAAGGATAAGCCTAACTTAAATTAAGATAACAGTTGATATATCTACATGCATAGCATGCTTGTCTTTGACAATAAGAGGCAGGACTTGATGACTTGGAAAGTCCCTTTTAATCCTATATTTTAAAATTACAGATAAAAAGTTATTTTTGTTGTTTTTTAGGTTTTTTTTTTTTGGATACTGCTAGCAATAGTTTTTCAGTAGCTCTTATCTGGTTCCCTAGCAAACACCTGAGGTCTCATGTAGGTGTGTAGCACAATAGTAGATTGCGGCAGCGTCCTGCAGGTCTGTTTTCACTTGGGTAGTGCTTTGGGGCTGTGGTGGAGACAAGGTCATTGGAAGGCCAGCAACTGAAAGGGAAACAGGGACAGTTGGTGTACTTTCCCTCGTGTGAATGCTCTAAGAAGGTGTTAGATTATTGGCAAAAAACTGATGTCAGAAGATCATGCTTCCTGGTAGGAGTAATGAATCAGAAATCAGAAGGACATCAGCGTTAGAAGAAGGATATGATACTGCTGTTGAAAGTATTAAAAAAAAAAAAATTATTCTTTGGATTTTTAGAACTATAGTGAAAACAGATACTTCTGCTCTTGAACATCAGTTTTTTCATGCAAAGCCTGACCCTAGTCTTGCATGTCCTTTCCCAAATAAGAGGAAGAAGGAGGAAGTTTTATTTGATGTATAGCAACAAGCTTAGACCCGTTTTAAAAATCATTTTCATTCCACTTCAGCTGCCTAGCTTATGTACCATTTGTGTCTGCTTGACTAGAACACGAGCTCATCAGTCTCTTCAGGTAGAAAAATCAAAGGGCAGGGTTAGGTCTTTTCTTTACTTGGCATTCAATCATTTAGTTGATATGGATAAGTTATATTGCTTCATTCAAGAAAAGTGGAAAAAAGGTAAATACAATAAAATGGGAGCTACTACCCCACAGACATTGTGTGCGTGTGTGCGTGTGCGTGTGTGTGTGTGTGTGTGTGTGTGTATTCCCCTCTCCCGTAGCGTAGCATGCTGTGTGAAGCATGGGTGGAATTACACATCGCCTTAGTGATGGGACACAGCATAAAACCTCAGGTTAATGGAAACTGGCTCTTCTAGGCTAAATTAACAAAAGCAGGAGAAAGTCTTTGAAGGCAAACATCGTGGGCTGTGGCAGCAGAACTTGAAAGACTGGGCCTGCTTAATGACAGTCTGCAAGTCTTTGCCGACTGAATTTGTACAAAGCGCTAATGAAGACAAACAATCTACTTAAGCGGAGCTGGAAAGCTCCCATTCAGCCCGCAGCTGGCACGAATGCTGTCAGTCAGGAGAGAGAAGCAAGTGACAAATAACTGAATATGCGGAAAAAATGAGATGACAATGAGCTGATTTCTCATTAGCACTTCCTTTTTTCTTCTGTAGATATTAGAAACACATTACTCCGGGTTGGTTGTACTGGCCTTGTAAATGCCAAAAAATTACCAGTGAGGCAGCGTGCAGATGGGGCAGTGGTTCCCAGGGCAGGAGGGTGGTGGTTGTCTGCAGCACCAAGGCACTTCTGCATCCTCAGGGCTTCCGAGCTCCTCCTGCACCTGAAGTAACTTCCTTGGGGCCACAGGAAAAAAATCCTGCATGAAAGTGGCTGCTGTGAAGTGCTAACGCACTTGTCTTGCTGCGCTTGCAAAGAAAGCGCTTGTCATGAAAGCTAGAGGAAGAATCGCTATGAGCAGTAGGGCTGACAGAATACTTTAAGGTATACTCTAAAATTAGAAAAGCCTATTTTTCCTCAGTCTTCATAGACTCTTGTGTGTATTTTTTCTTTAGAAATAATGGAAAGGGTTAAATAACTGTAAGCCAAGTGTTGTTTTGGTAGTGCATGCAAACAAAAACATTGCAGAACTGCATGGAAAGGCCGTCAGTGGCCTAGGTCTCACAGCAGTATAGCTGGGCCTAAACTGCAATGCTTTGGATTCAGCTTCAAGTCCAGTATGAAAGATAGGATTATTTGGGTACAGCGGTGAATTTTGCTTTCTAGAAACTGGAATCTAGTGTAAACAGGGCTTCTCTCTGCAGCCAGAACTACAATGTCTGCAAGCGGCTGAAAGCTGCCTGAGGTTTGGTACTGGTCCATTTTCTAGTTTGTAGCAGGCCAGGATTTTCCCCGCGATCTTCCTCCCCCCCTTCTATACAGATTTGCCATGAGCAGTCACACTTTCTTTTCTTTCCAGTTTGGTCATTGCTATAAATGCAGATGGTGAAAAAACAGACAAGTCCCACATTTACCTAGTGTTGAACGGATTGCAGATTTCCTGGCTTCTTCACTAAGAGAAAGCAAGCGGATCGAGCTGCACTTGCCCAACAGCAGGCTGTTCTGTCCTTGGAGAAGAAAGTAAAGATTGCCAGTTATCAATATTTGATGTCTGGCTTCAATGAGAGTTTGATGGTTTAAACCCTAAAGCAGAATTTGGGAGTTTCTGTTTTCTAAACTCAAGTAATAAGTCTAGTTGAATAGGATAATGTTTTAAAATGAATTTTTTGCATGTTTTGCACATTTTTTTCCTACCCCTCTGGACAAAGGGTCTCAAAACCTTTTCCATGATGTGTTACAGCTATTGTACACTGTACTAAATAGGAAGGAAAGTATGATGTGTATACATATCAATATATTTATGTAGTGAAAGTATTGCTTCTGTTTCTCTGAGGAGAGAATTATAACGGTCAACTACTTTATCCTTTTATTCTTCTGCATACTCCAAACCCACAGCACAGCTGACTGAAAATATTAGTCACCTAGGATTCATATTGCTATTTTTTTCCTCCTTGCTTCCCTTCCCCACACAATTATCAAGGTTTTAAGTACCTACAGGCATTTGAAAATCCCACTTGGTGTGCTGATTTACTCTTTGAAATCTTGTTGGAATAGCCTTTAGCCTTTTTGCATTCATAAAAGATGATAATACTTTCTTACCTTTTACGGAGGAATTCAGTGCAGTCAGGAAATCCTGGGCTGTCCCAGTAATACGCAGTGTCAGATTAAAAAACAACCAACCAGTCTATGCATTGGAGTCCCTTTTAGTGTGCTCTGCCACACTTCGGGGATGATTCCCTTTACCCACCTGACTGAAGGCACTTAATTTTGAGGCTGAGCCAGCTGTGCTCTGGCTGCAGCTTCGGGCTAGCTAATCCCTAGTGGTGCCTTTCTTCTGCTGCTGTCTGCACAGGCACTGCTGCTTGTCATATTTCCTTATAATTGCAGAGAGGCTATCCCCAGGAAGGAGAAACGCAAATATACCTATGTGCTACTTCATTGGGGTCCTCTACTAGACATCTCTTACATTTCGACTAGCGCTTGTCCTGCTAGACTTGGTAATTGCAACTTCCCTTCCTCCTTTCAAGTTGATTTTTTTCAGCATGTGTGTCCTCATGGAGAACTGTCAGTGATGCATAACCACACATCAAAAAAAATGCAGACCTCAAAGATAATTTATTTGCCTGCTAATGAGCAATAAAAAGAAACCTAATATTCCTGAGAAAACAGCTAGCTATTCTAAGATCCTAACTGGTGCTCCGTTATGCATTGTATTATGTGGCAATTTGGTGCTCTGCATATTTTAGCAGTGTATGTATCCACGAATGCACACAGAATCAGCCTACTTCTCATCTAAGTCAAAATACATGGTGACAGTTCACAAAAATAACATCTGCCAACAAGAAATATGTTAAGCAGTGAAAAATGCTAAACAGCAAGCACTAATTTGGGTCTGGTTCAACCTTTGGTGCTCTCCAGTATGTCATTTAATCATAATTTTTTTTGTTTACACAGTAAATGCATACGATACCTTCATAATAAGAAATGGCAGTGTTAGTGTTACCCTTTTTTAAGGGTTCTCAGGTTGATTGGGTATTATCAGTAACAAAGGCAGCTGCCTATCTTTACCACCTGTTCTGTTAAAATGTGAAAGGAAAGTGAGATATGCTTGTATTAAAAAAACCCAAACTTCTATTATTGTTTAATATTTTAGTGCCTTGAAGTCCTAGTCATACTGGCACTGTAAAAGTGTGCTTGAGGTAATATGCTCTCCTCAGATAACTTTTATCCAATCTGCAAAGATTGTAGACCATGTTTCTTCTATTTAAGCATTCAGCATCCCAGTGATTCTGGAGCATTACACTCCAAATAGGAAATACATGATTAACTAAATCCATGGGAATGAGTCTTGCAATATTAGCTGAAAGACCTACCAATGAAAGCAATACTGAGCAAGAGGGAATGAAGAAAGAGAAGGGTGGATGTGGAGTTAAATCCACCTAGCAGGACTGATCCTGCTAGGATCAGTCTGGTTTGTTTCATAGCCCACTGTGGGTTGCCTGTATGTCTACCTATTTAGCAAAATAAATGGATAATGTTTTTTCCCTTTTTGCCTCATTTATTTAGATTGCAAAGTTTTTCACCTACAGTCTCTTACTATTAGTGTGTATGCCAGGTAGTACACTCTGGGGTCCAAGTTTGGTTACAGCATCAAAATAATAATGTAATGGTGCTTAAAGATGATGATCATAGTGGGAAGATGCAAGTTTAACACCACACATCTCAGATAAGTTTTGATAAAGCTTCTTCTTTCAAGATATGTGTGATGCTAATGGCATCCACCAGTTTCTTTCTGACCGGCCATAGCCAATCCTATTGCTGTTTTAAGGCACACTTCCCATTCAGTCCTCACCAAAGGAAAAATGGTTGTTCAGAGTCTCGGAGAAATACTGTAGGGGAAAACTATTTGAAGCTGGTCTCATCTGAAACAGGACTACTGAATTCTGTAGGTTCTGGCAGCGTGTGGCTGAAACTATCAGGAAATTCTCAGGGTAGACTTACAATTTGAAAGCAGTTTGAGTGATGATCTAGAATAAAAACACTGGAATAGCATAATATTACTGCTGTAACTGTGAGGACAACAAGCATATAAGAAAGGAAAAATCTATTGGTATAGACTAGCTGATTTTAGAGTGCAAAAACAGATAAGCTGTTGGGCATGTTAGCCTTTTATTAGAAATAAAACAGAAGCAGAAAACTTCAAGCTTCAATGTATAAACTCATACAGCCTGCTAACAGGAACAGTGCCGTAAAAATTAAAAAAAAATCTATTCTATTGTGAGAAGCCTGACTGTCTTTCTGTAGTACACGCTATGTGATAAAGGAGTATTTTTTTTCTCTGTGTGGTCTCATTTAATTACAATACCAGTAGTGCCTGGCTACATTCCGTATATAATTAATTGCAGCTTTGGTTTCGGAGTGCGGTGGGGCCAGTCTGCCTCTACCCACTGCACTTGTTCACATCTTTAGATAGCTTTCTGCCGTGCCAGCTGGTGAGTGAATGGAGCCTTTCACAGCAAGCCTAATGGGCATGAATGGTTGAGTCATTGTCCTTGTTGGTTCTCTGGTTAATCTAGTGACAAACAAGGCTGGAGCTGCTGCAGTTGACATTCTCTTTATGGACTGTGTTTTCAGGGTAAACATTATGTGTAAAGGGATTTCATCTTTTTGCCAGCTCCTTTCTGTTTCTTGCTAGTTTTGGAAGGAAAATGTTTCCTATGATGAGGTACTAATAAAAACTGCTAAGTACAATGTTTGTTTGCTTGCTTTTAGTTTCCTATGCTTTTAGTTTCCAGTAAATCAGATGGTTGAATACCTTGAACCTTTTGTGTTCAAGTTCCAAGTTTCACAATTTTTGTGAAATATTTTTGGACAGATGTAAAAAATAGCAGAAAAAGTTAGTCTAACTATAAAATTCTATAACAATAGAAAACATCTTTTCTAGGAAGATTTTTTCTATTCCATATGTATAAAACAATATACTTTTTATCTAAAATACTTTTAGTATTCCCCTTATTAAATTCTAGAGGACAGAGTAATGCATGTGGTAAGAAAAGGAGTACGCACATACAGATAAATTCAACACAGTGTTTAAAAACCATGCACATTTTCATAAAGGCTGTTGCTCCGTCAAGGTATCTAAAAGGTTACTTTTTCATCCTCTTCTGAGCTCAAGAAGGAAAGGGGAACACATGCCAGCTTTTAATTTGCCTATATGCTAATTCTTTCAAATCCACCAAAACTGCCTGCTGACAATCTAGTCATATATGCAGCCAGGATAAATGAAAATGCAATTCTGGCAGTAGCTTTTCTTCTATAATGAATTGTAGGTAGTCCAAAAATACAACTTAATGTCCACTTCCCAGTCTTGCTATAGCAGAAAACCTTTCCACGGCAAGAAATGTGAGTATTACAGTCCTGTTCTTGCCGACGTTGCTGGCACCATACAGGCATGCAGGGGTTGGGGTGGGAGGGGGAGGAGAGCGTAATGTCATTTCGTCTTCTTCATATGGCTTGTACAAAAAAGCTAGTTGGAATTTCAGACCCTGGGATCTGATTAGTATGGGGACTTTAATGTCCTCAAATTCTTCACTACCACCAGACGAGTTGCTGGGGCATGGTTTTGCCCTCTGCCCTAGCTCAGCTTGCAGCAGTGGTGGAGGGAGGGAGGGGAGCATCCTTGATAACCGCCTGGTGATGGCTGCTCTGTCCCCAGGGGCAGGCGGCCTTCCTGAGCACCTCCAAACACAGATGCTCAGTGTTGTATGTATATCTGTGCTTTATTCTGGCCTGTCCTGCTCATGTGACAATGGTGAAGTTTTGCAGAGGAAGGTACCCTCTCTAACACTGATTGAAATTCTTTCATACAGCAAGGAAAATGAGATTATCTCTTGCAACAACCGTCATAACTGTAATGCAGAGGAACTGGAAGCAAAACTATCATTACTGTTAATGGGGATGTTTGCCTAATTCCCTGCTAACCATGCCGAAACCTTCCCCAAGAGATACAGTTTACTAGTCATAATTTAATTTGATTTGTATTAGCCCTATTTGCCTAAGTAAAAATATAAATACAAAAACAGAAAAAAAGGCAGGGAGAAAAGAGCTATGCAGCTCCTCAGTATTTATTGTTCACTATTATAGTCTGGTAATGTAGCAAAGAGCACAGAGAAAACAGCTCATCCCTTCGTAATTTTGCCATATTATGTAATGTATACCTACCTACAGTGGCGATCAATGGACAGTCTGTGTTAACTATCCTGTCTATTAATCTGACCAATATGCTGCCTGTCTGCAAGGGTAGTGAGAAAAAAAATCGAACATACAGCACAGGCATGTGCCTTGCTTTAATTAGACTAAAATCAACATCCTTTTTTTGACTGTATTGGTATATTCTGTCTATGATTGCCTTTTAAACTGACACATTTTCTTACTGTGATAATTCACAATGAAATCCTCTCTGGGTTTGTATGGTTTTGTTTTGTGTTTTGTTGCTGTTGGTATAGCATTTTATTCTCTAGTGTTACTTATCTGAGTAATCCCACCGATTTGAGTTATTAGAGTGAGTAAATGCAGCTATGCTGGGCTAACTTTTGATGGTGTTCGGACCTTTCAAGTTTTTTTGCATTGCTCTTTCAGAGTTGAGAACGGTTTAAAAGAGTGTTTTTGATGATACTTTACACATTATTTTTCCTCAAGGATTTGTTTGAAGTTCAGTACTTCAGAGTAAAACGGGGGAAAAACAATAGCTTTGTGCTTCTTTTTGGCTCATTGTGTGTGGGAGCTTCCTCAAGAGCCACACACGTGATTTAGTCAGCGTGCTTCGTACTTGCCGTGTGACACTGCTATTATGCTGTCTGTTTCAGGAGTCTCTGTAGATGAAGCTCACAAGCTGAATATTATTTCATTTCATATTGGAAAATCACAGTCTGAAGAAAAATCTGAAGTCCAAACCTCTTAGAGACTGCACAAACAGGGGATAGGATCTTATTGTATGAAAGAAAGCAAAATCTGTTAAAAGAAAATTCTGCCTTTTCTGCAATAAATAGCTACTGGAGTAGGCGTTACATTCTGCACAGTAGTTTCCTGCAGAAGGTTCGCTGCAGATTTGTTAGCATTAAGGAATACCTTAGCAGGATTAGGATAAGACTCTTAGCAGACTAAGTCTTCAGAGGACATTCTTGGTAACATGTGACTGGCTTCTGGCTTTTGACTTCCCTCTTTAAAGTACTGACTTTAGAATAATTATCACGAGACACTGTAGATAATCAAATATTTAAACAATTGCCTCCAATGAATAGGTGCTCCTAACGTGTAAAGGAAATGTTACATATTGGTAAGCCCCTATTGGTGGTGTTTTTTTGTGATACTTTTGTTGTAGGATGATCTAGACATTCATTTAATTGGATTGAAATATTATTAATCAAAAAAGAACAACATAAAAACAAAAATTAACAGATTTCTGGGTCTGACTGCTTATAGTTCTCTTTCGGTTTCCCCAACTCGCATCTCATGCATTGGTCTATATTAAAGAGAGGTCTCAAACACAGTTGCCTTGCTCTCCTGTTGAACAAATATCCTTTTCTCCTTCCCTGTCAGCACTGATGCAGCT